AAAAAAGTCTGCCACATGCTCCTTCTGTGCAGAAGGGAGAGGACGGCTCAGATCTTAGCCACTCAGTCTTTCAGTGAAAACTGGGGGGGGGGGGGGGGGTGGGGAGCGACCAACCCCCCGGGGGGGGGGGGGGGGGGGGAGGTCAGGACCACCCTCCCCCAGAGAATAGAATGGAAGCACAAACTGTCTTTTGCTTTTTTTAAAAAACAGTTTAGCACTTGTAAGTAGTGGCTTATTGACAGCATTAGATATTAACTCAGGGCATGCACAGTTCAAGCAGATTCTCAGTTGTAAAGCTCAGTTTTATGGGGACTACAGATCATGTTAGTTATTTTCCTAGGAGCACTTTAATACTGGAGTGCAGGGACATAGGAGAGGAAAAATTACTCCCAAATCTATCATACCTATCCAATGACCCTTTGCTAGGAAGGGAACAGGAGCCTGCACTATCAGCTATTTTAGCTGTACAGACACTAGACTCTAAACTACATTTATTTTCAGATCCACACTAAACTTCCAATTAAACTGCCGTTCAAATGGAACCAATAGCCAGAAACAAGGCACCAAAGTCAGTCACATAATAGCTGTCTTAGTAGGATTGCCGAATACAGCAAAATGTAACAAAAAAGCACCTGAAGAGAATACAATACCATAAGAGCTAGGGGGAAAAAAAACCTAATTACTATGGCATGCTGACAAAATCAGAGCCACATTGTTCAGTGCTGAAAAGTATTAAATATAGAATTTTGACCTCTCTGAAAATCTTTTGAAGAATTTCTAGGTGTGCTCCATTTTTAGACGGAAAGTAATTCAAGACCAGCAAAATATCCATTCTAATGAACCATTTCAAAACACTCAGGATTGGATTTTTTAAAAGCACTCTGCAGCTGTCTGATATCAGTACTGTTCACTTTGGTGAGAACAGAGTGCCTTTGAAAATCTCATCCTAGAAAACCACCAATGAAGAGTACAGAAGGTCAGAATATAATAAAAAGGGGTGTTATTTCTTATGGTTATTTTCCAGTACTTTTGTTTATAGGACAAACCACCTGAGTAAAAGCCAAAATAAGCCCTAAAGGAAAAGCAATAGAATCAGCTTTACACAAGCAGAGTCGTAGTTAAATGAGAATTTCTGAGGAAAAACTGAAGCAGCCAACTGCTTAGGAAAATCAGATAACTATTACCACCAAAGTTGTCTCAATGTCCTGAAGGAGACTGCTGAAAAACAAAGTTTCTCCCTCCCCCAATTTCCAGCTGTAGGTGGTATCATGAATCTATCCTCCCAAGCTACTGGCACCCAGCCTTACAGTTTCTGAAAACAGCCTTCAACTTTTGGCACCAAATAAAATTCTACAGCCTTCCTGTATACAAGAGCTCCCTAGTCCTTTAGCGAGAAATGTACTGATTGCATATTTCAATCAAAACATCTTAACCTGATTAATGTGTTTAAACAAATTTTCTTTAATCAATGGATCTGACATTTGCTGGCATTTGAAATGCACCAAAAAATGGATGGATAGCAACAAGTTTGGGCTTGACATTAGATGGTTTTTAATCATCAGAAAAGTAAATTCTGGAACAGCCTTCAAAGGGGAGTAGCAGGGCCAGAAAACCTAGCTGGTTTCAAGACTAAGTTGAATGAGTTTATGGAGGTAATGGGATGATGAAGTTGCACATAATGACATAAGGTCAGTTTGTGTCTGCTGTTAGCAAATACCTTCCATAGTCAGGGAAGCCTCTGAGTTATTACAGTCTTTAAATCAAGTTTTGAGGACTTCAGTAACTCCAGCCAGAGGTTATGGACTAATTGCAGGAATGAGTGGGTAAGGTTCGGTGGTGGGAAATGTTCAGGGGTCAGACTAGATGATCGAAACAGTCTCTTTTGGCCTTAAAGTCTGTGAGCGTGTTCTTGTTTGTTTTTCCCCTCTGCTCTGTCCCCAGGTTTTTAGAGAGGGAGTAGTAGTATTCACTTAACTTGATAGCATGTGTGGTGTTGATGCACTAGTCTGTTTTGTAGGGGTTATATATTTGTGTGTGGTTTTATTGTAACTGACCACAAAGCTTGGTTCTGGCTGTAATTTATGAATTAAATACAATGAGTGCCATCAGTAACTAGATTTTTTCCCCCCAAACATTGAAATGTGCATAAACAGGTGTTACTATGGTTGTGGTGTTTCTTAGGTTATGTCAAGATGACTTTTAATTTTCCCCTCTCTTGTAACTTACAGGCAAATAAATGATAAAACTGGACTTCACTTTAATTTTTGTTGGTTTTATTTATTTCGTAGCTAGTTGCAAAATATAAAAACAAGAATTTTTTAAACTGAGAATATTTTGTCCTTCACTTTAGAATTAAGTCCAAATTTACTTAAGTACATTTGTGCAAACGTTGCTAATTATCCAGGTAGTCCCATAAAGGAAACTAACCTCTTGTCATAAAGCAAACTTTGTTGATTGCTTCCTTTTGCGTGCTGAATGAGTTTTATTACCCCTTTATGCAGAATCACTTTCCGAGTACAGCTCAACTGATTGCATCATCTCAGTTGGTTTATTCATAACGTGTGGAAGAACTCCCATGGTAACAGACAGTGTTGCAACTGGGCAAGAGATAATTTTGGAAATTAGCAGAGCAATTTTTTAAATAGTTGATTTTGACCCGCCCAATAGCTTGTGTAGGGGTGAAAGCAAGGACCAGGTGCTGTATCTGGATTCCATTTCTGACAGTCCACATATAGACTTGCTGTGTGACTTATGCGAAGTATTTATCTTCCAAAATAGATTGTAAATAGGTTTTAAAACATGTGTGTCTCTGGTGAAAGGCACCAGAATTATAAAACACAAGTGGTGAATGCCTAATCTTTATATTAGTTCCTTATATTAAAGTAATAGCTCGTTAAACTAGCATTTAGTCCTGAAGGTATGACAATTTTATTAATGGAATGAAATGACTACTGGTATAGTGCAAGTAGCTTTAAATACTGAGAAGTTAATTTATGGAGAGTTCGTCAATTATATTTGGAGGGCTGTTGATTAATTGCCATTATCTCAAGTGAGTAACTAAAAATTATGATTAATCAAACTGTTAAACAATAGCATATTAACTGAAATGTATTAAATATTTGAGGCTGTTTTTCTACATTTTCAATATTGATTTCAGTTACAACACAAAATCCAAAGTATATAGTGCTCACTTTATATTATTTTTATTACAAATATATGCACTGTAAAAATGATAAGCATGCAACTCAGATGATGAAAATGAACATGTACTAGCTGACCCTGCTTTGGATCATTATCCAGCAGAACTCATTATCAGCATAGACACGTGCTCTAGAATGGTAGTTGAAGCATGGAAGGACGTACAATTCTTTTAGCACACACATATCTGGCATGTAAATATTTTCCAAATGTTTTTAATAGCATGATTTTGTAATGGCATTTACAGCCTTGGATATTTGAAATGTAATACACACAGAACACAAGTGGCTAATTATGTTCATGAGAACATAGAGGCCTGTACTAAGGAAACCAAGGTAGTACATGTTCTTGAGTGAAATCAGTTTTAAGGATTTGGAATTATACAAGAAATGGAAGGCTGTTGTTGGTTTAGGGACTTTTATAAGATAATGCAAAATCATATATAAGAAAGGAAACAAAGTGAGGCAGTAAAGACAACTAATCAGATAAGAGGGGGACTAGAAAGAAATGAACATAGAGATCATAGGTAGAACAAGTCTGAGCAGACCTCTAAAATTCATACTTGATTTTTTCCTAAGACATGGTAGGTGCATGATCAAATAGGTAAAAGTTGACTGTTGCCTCGGCATTTTAGTCAAAGGGGTAGGATGACATATGGCCAGATTTGACTGAGGGTTTTAGCAATAAGAATAAAGAGGGAGAGTACTGCTTTTGGTGTTGAGATGGGGAAAAGCAACAAGATGTAATGGAAGCCTGGCAATGAAAGAAAAGAGAGAAATCTCAACCGAAGTTATGAACATAGGCATGGTGAAGACAGGGAGTTGTAAAGAATGTAAAAAGCACAAAAGCAGACCATGATTTGAAGAGAAGATAAGAAAAGCGTGATTATGAATACAGTTAAGTTTTGTATGGTGGCATGGGGAGCAGTAGGGGTGTCTGGCTGATGAGTCTTGCCCACATGCTCAGGGTTTAGCTGATCGCCATATTTGGGGTCGGGAAGGAATTTTCCTCCAGGGTAGATTGGCAGAGGCCCTGGAGGTTTTTCGCCTTCCTCTGTAGCATGGAGTACAGATCACAGCTAGAGGATTCTCTGCATCTTGGGGTCTTCAAAGTATTTGAAGGCTTCAATATCTGAGATATAAGTGAGAAGATTATTTTGGGAGGGGTGGGTGAGATTCTGTGGCCTGCACTGTGCAGGGGATCAGACTAGATGATCATAATGGTCCCTTCTGACCTTAAAGTCTATGAGTCTGAGTTATTCAGATGCAAGATGCCTGATTCTCAAGGGTGACAGGATTAGGTAACCTTATGGAAGAGAGGTTGTGTAGAAACTTATGATGAGCTGTTACATCAATGTGGTGAATTGCTGTGAATGGTTCTGTTTTTCAAGTACTATCTTGAGCTGAACTACCAGATGAGTAAATCTGTGACCTGAACGATAACATGCCCCTAGATGACTTCATTAGCACACTCTGTTCAATTAACTATTCATCAAAATAACAACTTTCTTTTGCTTCTTAAAATGTATTGTTTTAATGTGATTTGGTCACTGTCAGTTAATGGTATAGCTTAGGACTAAATCAATTGTGGTCAGGTTTAAGACAACCAAGCCCACATTTGGTGATGATTCATTAACTAGATGTAATGGATTAGCAGGCTTGCTGTTCTACAGTGAATAAACCAAGGGGTGAAAATAACTTTTTAATCAGAAGAAAAATCTGGTAAGGTTTTCACTTTAAAAAAAAAAATGTGTTGCATTGCTTGTTAACTCTGGGTTGCTAATGATACATTTGACATTTCAGGAAACAGCATACTCCATTCAGCAGCAGACAGTGTGACCAGTGCAGTACAGAAGGCAAGTCAAGCTTTGAATGAGCGTGGCGAAAGGTTAGGTCGGGCAGAAGAAAAGACAGAAGATATGAAGAACAGTGCCCAGCAGTTTGCAGAAACTGCACACAAGGTAAGATTTTTATCAGAATAGGGTTCACGTTAGCTCAGAATAGTGCTTTATATTCATTATTCCTCCTTTGCAGGAGCTACAAATGGCTGGGCACTTTTCAATTGATCACCAACATTCACAAGCATCATGCTGTCTCACAACTGTCCCTCAATTACAGGCACTTACAGGGATTTATAAAGTCCCTCACATGTGCAGCCGACCTGGTGTTCTGACACTTTCCTTGACTAGGCATAACTTCCATGTTGCAAAATCAAAAGAAAACCAGCATTTCAGGATTTATTTCATTCCCATTCCATGCACACATGTCCTCAGAGTTATCCTGAGAGTTGTAATCAATATTAGCTACCGTTGTACAGGGCTACTTTGTTGATGTTCAAATGAAAAAAGATAGAAGTGGAAAGAAATGAACTTTGTAATCTTACTGTCCATTTTATGACAAGGGGAATATCAGGGGAATTGCAAATGTTACCTCAACAATATGTTCTATGCCACTTAGTCTGTTTCATATTTCAGCAGAAATATGGGAAAGAAGTACGTTTTCATTCCAACTTAAGGAAATGGCAGCTTGTTCCTGGAGATATGATTGTCCTGCAAGCTAAAAAGGGCTTATACCTTATAAGGCTGCTTACAGAGCTCTATGCCAGTGATGGGCAACCTGTGGCTCTGGGGCTCCACGCGGCCCATCGGGGCTCCATGTGTGGCCCATGCAACATTTTGTTTATCATTGTGCATGTGCAGAGTTGCCAGATTATGTTGGTTTCAGTCCGTGTAGTTTTTTCCTCCTAGTATTACGGTAGCGTCATGCACATATAGCAAGGAAGTGAGTTGCCTGCTGATTGCCCACAATATTGACTGAGAGCCATGCGCTACCACTGCATCCAATCAAAGTGCTGCTACGGTTCAGTTGGCGTGGCCCACAAATTCTAGATAGGCAAAACTATCCTATCCTGAAATACCATCTTAGCTGTGAAAATCTTGTGGCCCACTGAGATGGTGGGCCTCTCATGCGGCCCATTCACTAGCTCAGGTTGCCCATCACTGATCTATGTTGTTTGTACGTAATGGAGAGTCACTGCTCCAGAGCAAACATTTCTTAATCTAGTCATTTCTGGTCTAATTCTCTGATCTGGCAGTCTCTCTGGATTCTGGTCTGGCCTTTATATTTAAATCTAGTGATCAGTGCACAAAATATGTTTAGAACTACTTCTAGCATGTCCCAGGGTAGCAAGATATGACTGGAACTAGTGGCCAAGGCGCATGCATGAGAGAGAGGAGCTACCTGACATCAGAGGCTGCAACAGTATCTGATATTGGAGTATAATCTTCCAAAGTAATTAAAACATTTACAGCACTTGCAGTTTGAAGAGAATGTTGGTTTACGTCAATAAGCAAATAAAAATATCCTGTATAGATAAATGTTTAAACTTCCATTTTTATACATTCGTGTAGGTGTGTGCAATAATTTTTAAAGTAGTCCCAGGCTGCCAGAGCCGTAACAAGATTGGGGCAAGTGGGGCACTCGCCCCAGTTGCAGTACATTTAGGGGCATAAAATTAGAAAGTTAAAATATTATTTCATTTATATCTTTACTATCATCTATTGGCAATCTCAATATATGTGAAATTAATAAAATTAATACAAAAAATTAAGAATTTTATCATTTTTGGGGATTGGGAGGGGCACAGTTTAGTAGCTTGCCCTAGCGCAGAAAACCTTAGTTTCGGCCCTGCAGGCCTCCCCAGAAGGGCCAGGGCCTTGGGTGGAAGGGATGGGGCCAGGAGGTGGGGGAATGCTTGAAGTCTTCCCCCACTCCCGAAAATCGCCAGCTGTTTTAAAACACCTTGGCTATGTCTACATTGCACTTTGTTGTACAAGAACATATGCAAATGAGGTGCGGTGATGAATATCGGCACGTCTCATTTGCATACTTGAGCCGCCATTTGCACAAGGGGCTTTTGCATAAGAAGTAGCAGTCTACACTGCTCCTTCTTGTGCAAAATCCCCCTCTTGTGCAAGAGCCATTCTGCCTGAAAATAAGCGGCAGAATGGCTCTTGCACAAAAGCCCCTTGCACAAAATGGCAGCTCATTAAATATGCAAATGTTCTTGTGCAAGAAAGCACAATGTAGATGTAGCTTTGGCGTTTCCCTCTAGGCACCACAGTGAGAGGAGAACTTACACGCTTCCCCCGTCTCTAAGCTAGTTAGGACCTGGAGGCAAGGGAAAGCATACGAAGTCTCTTGCCCCCTGTCCCCGCCATACCAGGGGCACATGGTATCTAGAGAGAAACGCTGGGTGTTTTAAAACAGCCAGTGGTTCCCTTAGATGCTGCGCATCCCTAGTGGGGCTAAGGGGAGATAGGGAGAGGAAACGTTGCATGCTCTCCCGTCCGCTGGTCTCAATTGGTCTGGAGGCGGGGAAGCAGAAGGGCAGCCACAGGCTGGATCCCCCATCTTGGCAGACTAGATCCATGGAGGCCCCTTTGCCTGCCCCTGCATAAGTGTATAGTAAGAACCATTCAGGAACCTAGAAATTTTCCTCCCACGTTAGTTTTAAATTGTTTCATTTTGCAAATTTTGGTTCACCTTTGTACTAAATATGATAAAACATGTTGCCAAATTGGCCCAATTTCACTTAGTTTGTTATTTGTACATGAGTATCATCCACCCTAGTAGCATAATTCTAGAAATAGGATTTAATTTGTATTCCTCGGTATCCTAAAATGTCTAGAATTGCAGGCTACACATAGTAATCTATTTCATTCTCATCCTCATCCTTTTTTTTTTTTCTTAAATAGTGGCTGTAGTTGAACTGGTTCTCTTAAGCAGGGCATCTAATCTACCACTGCTAAACGTTTGATACTGAAGATACGTCTCCATCATGCAAAGTATACTATGTTCTGCATACTTCCGTCTCTGTTAGTCATATGATTGCCAGTAACATGGTAACTACTTTATGTTCATTCCCACTTAGAAGTATTGTTGCAAAGGAGTGGGTAGAAACTGATTCTGAGCTGCAATGTAAAACAGGTTTTCTGTATTTAACAATGCCTTCCAAATGCAGTGGGATTGGAGGGGCTGTGTGCGCTAGATGTCAATATTGCCTAAAAATATACTGACTAGATGTAATATAGTAAATTACTTGCCAGGATAAAATTCAAGGATATGTGTCAGAAACATGAAATCTATGGCCTGAATTTATGGAAGAGTCTCTGCTGGCCAAGAGGATTGTCTAGCCCCTTTTTTCCCCCCACATGCTTTTTCCGTGTTGAGTGAACAAGGTGCCTGAATTGAACTGTGTTTTGAGATTCTAAAATTGGTTTATTAATCACTTAGGAGCTGGCAGAGTTTGCTAACAGTGAATCCACTTACATAGAAATAGATTTGTCTTCATGCCAGTTAACAAGAATTATGAAAGGCAGACTCTCACCAACAGTCAAAACTCGGCTGCAGCACTGTCTTTCCACCTGTCCAATACTAGCTATTACTCATTTTGATTGCTTTGGAAGAGAGAGTAAAAGAAAGTTACTACTGTAAGTTTTAGCCCACCCCAATTCAAATTGCCATGTAGAATTCTGTGAAGGGAGCTAGTAAGTATGGTTAGTCGCACCTCCATCTCCCTCCCCTCCCCCCACCACTTTCTTTTTAGAATGCAGGAGAGTGATACTAGAAATATTCAGCCCACCTTCCTTTTTTTTTTTAACCAATGATGCCTCGATTCTCTCACTACAAGTGAGATGTCCTACATTTCATCCATGCTGTCAGATTTATTATCATTTGTGGCATGCAAAATTATGCAAAAGAAGGTTTCCAGAGGCCAAGCTGCACGAGGCAGCCCAGTGAGCATGCTGTTGTACTACACTTTCCATGGAGGCTTTTTTTTAACCTACATGTATACAATGGTTGGATGCCGACAGTATGTCACTTTAAATTGAAGCAGTAGGAACAGTAGCGTCTGGAGAGGCATCAGCAGAAGGGTATCTGCTAAGATGAAAGAGAAGAGGGAACAGCCAGGAACTATGCTGTTCCTCACATTCTTCTCCAACCCATCAGTTGCCCAGTGTAGGACACTGCCTTAGTGGGAAATAAAATGAGAGAGAGAAAGAACAGATATTTAGTACCAGGGGAGTTAGATCAGTTTGGGAGGCAATGAAGTTGCAAAGTTGTTAAGTATTGTTTTGTTTTATTTACGTATATAGCTCTAGTGAAATGATAGGTATTTCTAGTGGTCTTCCTGTGGGGTGCGTGTCAAATTCAGACACATGGAATTTCAGATGTACTGTATGTTTGAGAGACCTGGATGGTAGTGTGTCACCTGAAAATATACCATAAAATCCTGTTGTGGATAGTGTTAAGTTTTACTCCATTTCACTTTTCCATAAGTGAATGTTCTCAGATCAGGTCCAGACCTGATTATTTGTGTGCTTTTTAGTTCAGTACAACATAGTTAGGGATTGTTTTGTTATTTAATGGTCTTCGTACATGAATAGCTGCATGTTTCTTTGACTTAATTTAGCAACTCACTGCATTGAGCAAGAGTTGTTGGCAGAGGTTGTTAATCAGCATTTTAGCACACTACATTAATAGATGAATGCCTTAAAAAGTCAATGCAAAGTGTATAATGGATCTTGAGTTTGCCTTGTTAGTGTTGCAAATGTTATTCCTGACCTAAATAGGGAAAATTGCCATTAGCAAGGGAGAGGAAGCAGCATAGGTTTAACCACAGAAGGGAAAGTCTGAGATGTCTTGTCACCAACAAATCTTGTAATAGCTTCTCAGTTTTTCTTTCTCCTCACAGTTTCTTCAGTGTTTAGAATAGAAGAGTTTGTAATAGTACAGGTGTATCATTTTAAAATAATAATACGTTTATGTCTATGGCAGCCTCCAACCAAAGCTGTTATGATACAGTAGAATGGAGCAAAACAAAATAAAGGCTGCATAGAACTAATAGTGAGGATCTGACCAAGGAAGAAGCAAAGGAGCAAATAGAAACTAGCAGTTCTGAGTTCCTTCAGTGAGTGATAGTGTACTCACATTAGAACATGTACTAGAAAAACAGAGCTGTCTGGTTTAGAAACAAGGCAATATCACTCACTGATATCCTAGTGGCTCCTACTGCTGTATTTTAAAAATACCATTTCTTGCCCATTAATACTTGTGGAATTTCTTTTCTCCTCTCAAAACTATTATCAGAAGTTGCCCCATCTGTCTATGGATTAGCCTCAGAGGGGAAGCCGTGTTAGTCTCTAGCCACAAAAACAATGAGTAGTCCTGTGGTACCTAAGACGAACAGATTTATGAGAGCATAAGCTTTCGTGGGTAAAAGCCACTCAGTCAGTCATGCATCTGACAAAGGGTACGTTTGGACTACAGGGTTTTGTCGACAAATACTGTCGACAAAGCTTCTGTCGACAAAGAGCGTCTACACTACATTCAGTTCTGTCGACAAAGCAAGTTGCTTTGTCGACATGGCAGTGTAGTCGCAAGGACAGTTTACATGCAATAACGCTTTGTCGACAGAAGGCGGTATGCCTCGTGAAATGAGGTTTACCAGCGTTGACAAAACTGCTGAGTTCTGTCGACGTTATGTCGACAGAACTCAGCAGTAGTGTGGACGCAGGGATAGTTTTGTCGACAAAAGTCCACTTTTGTCAACAAAACCCTGTAGTCTAGACACACCCAAAGTGATTTTTACCCACAAAAGCTTATGCCCAAATAAATCTGTTAGTCTTTGAAGTGCCACAGGACTCCTTGTTGTTTGTCTATATTGTGTTTGCTTTTAGTACAGTGAAACCTGCTCACACATGTGAAACAGGAGCTCCCTTAAATTTTGCTGGTGCAAGAACCTAAACAATCCCTGGAACTCTGATCAGAATTGGGGCCGGCAGGGCTTGTAGGAATACAAACACATTCATTGCAAATAATGAACACTAATAATGGACTCTGCAAAATTACATCAAAATGGGCTAGAAAACTAATTTGTTTGCAGTCCTCACTGCTAAACCACCACTCGGTTACATAGATACAGGAATTGTTTGAGTTTGTTCACTGCTTTCCTCAGAGCATTATTCACTTCTGTGTTCCTCAGGCTGTGGATGAGGGGGTTCTACAAGGGGATTGTCAGCGTGTAAAACACAGTATATTCTGCTATTTTGTACTCACTTTAGGGGATTGTCACAGAGGCACACATATTGTAGTTTCTCTTGAAAATGTTACCCTTGCCCTTACTTGGTTTTTTTTTTGTTCCCTTAACTTGAAATAAAGACACTGACAGAAATTTCCTTTCTTCACCTTGGGCATGGACAGAAATCAGGTTACAATTTCTACAACCATCTCATGGAGCGCACACAGTACTGCAGAATGTGAGGAGAGAGTTCTAAACTCATTTTGAATCAGCTATAGAGATCACACACTTTGTACTTACAAACACATGACGAAACTAATCCTATCATGAAGAGGGAGATAAACTCCATGGCCCCTAATCTTGCGAAACCTTATTAAAATACCATGACCGGGTTTTTGGTTACAACTTCCCTTTCCTTCTACCCACAACCACTTCAGCATTTGTGGTCCACTTGAGTGTAAACAGATTTCACTAGTAAATGGGCACTGTATATGTATCTTCTTTTAAACATGTGACCAATAATTTTAAAGAGCTAGAAATATTTCTCAAAATGCAATAATATCTTATAGTTTAATTTCATGTCCTGTCTGCTTAGAACATTGTCAAATCCACAAACAGATCTACTTTGGACAAAAGGCGGTGTTGATTGTTTCCCACAGGCCACATAAAGAAAATCCCATTCTGGGAATCACAGAATTAAAACATGCAATATACAGTCACGTTGAGTATTTTTCTTTTGAGTGCTGACAGTATGTTGGGTATTGCACAGTCCTAGAGTGATATTCACAGTTAGAAGAAAAAGGAGGGTGGGGAAAATGGAGTAGAAGGGAAAATCACCCACAATACAAAACTGTCACGGGAGGGAAAAAAATTCTGGAGCACTTCCAGTCCTCCTTTTCTAACCAGTCACTTGCACTGGCTTTCACCCATTGTTGTAACTAAATGTAACGTTTATTTTTCCATTAAAGGGTATAGCTCCTGCACTCCACTACTACCCAGATCTTTTCTTATGTATTGGACAAATGGGTTAGTCTTCCAGTTTTGCGGCAGTTGGGTTATAGATATTTACTGCTGTCATCATTCAACTGGAGCAGAGGGAAATGATCCCATTGTTAGGACCCTCTTGCACTGAGGCTACCTCTCTGGGGAAAGGAACTCCAGTCATTAGGAAAAAACAGGTGTTAGACATAAGGGATTGATCAGGAGAATGGTATAGTGACTTGCCTGCCTGGGGCAAAGGTTGTGGATCTCTTGAAACATCTAGATAATTAAAAAAAAAATCAGTTGGGGACCACACAAGTGAGTAGCAAAAAAACTCCTCCAAAACCCCCCAATGCTCACTGATGTGGCCCCAACTGAGAGATCTCACTCCTCTGGTGCCCCAGGCTCATGGGGTGAAGGGAAGGGGAAGGGGGGAAACTGAGGTTCAGGGCTTCCCATAGACCAGATTTACTTTTCTGGGGTTCTGGAGTTAGTGGATTTTATGGGCCTCCTTAGGCTCTGGGGTAGGACAGAAATGAGGGGTACAGTGCACAAGATGGGGCTGCTAGCAAGAGGATGCGGATGGGGTGCAGGATCTGGGAGAGGGCTGAGGTTTAGAAGCAGGCTGGAGAAGGGTGTCTAGCCAGGTGGAGGGAGCAGGAACAAGGGAGGGTGCAGTGTGTGGCCAGGAGAGAGGATGCAAGAACAAGGGTGGGTGTCAGAGCAAACTGGGGGTGCGTAGTCTTGGGGGGAGGGAAGTGAGGCGTTTGGAAAGGGGAGAGGGTCTGGGCACGAGGGGCAACCTTACCTGGTTTCGTGCCCTCTTGCCACAATGGCTACAGCCACTTTGTTCTGGCCACCCTGCAGGGAGGCTCCGCTGCTGCGGCCACCCAGTCCCTAATTGTCAATTAGGGGGTTTCATGTACAGCCCATCTCCAGTCTAGATTGGTTGCTTTAGCCAGGAATGGTTATAATTACAAATAATATCACTTTTTCTCTCTCGTTCTTTTTCAGCTCGCCATGAAGCACAAATGATGAGATACTGCCTAACATAGCAATCTTCCCAGGAGGAACTGAAAAACTAGATTGAGCAATTTTTACTGGAGATCCAAACTTTCACCTGCTTTATCTTTCCAATTCAGTGAAGATCAGTCATTCAGTTAACATACAGGAAAATGTTGCATTCCTACCCATTTATGGTAATTTTGCTAAGCAATGCTACTGTATCACCAACCTTTATTTTGTATTTAAGTTGTTGAAGGTATTTTTGAAAATATGTAAACTGGACCAAATAAGAAACTTATCAAGATTAAGCTGGCACCATCTTATTTTTTTTGTGGTGTCATACAGGAAGAAGTATTAAATTGGCTATGAGTGATATTACTGTACAGAATAAAATCCATATAATGGTTATATATTTCCCCCTTTTGTACAATGCTAGTGGACTTTGAATATTGGATATATGCATAGCAGATCATAATCCTGTAGTGGAACGCAGACAGATTTGTTATGTGAAACGGCACGCCTTATAATTTCTGCTTTTCAGTAGAAACTTTCGCATGTGCCATCACCAGCATTCAGAAGTGCAAATTTGACTTACAAATGTGGCCCTGCTATTCATGCTGCATTTGAAAATATCCCTATTGTACTTTCCAGATCAGTTTGGATTGTATAATATAACATAAAGAATGTGAATTTGAGATTTTAAGATGTAAGAAAAATCTGATTTTACACACACAATGTTTGTGCCTCATTAACACAGTAAAGAATTTAACAATCTTTGCATGGTTTCTTTTCAACTATTATTTTTTGTATCGGGCTTAGATAAAGGAAAGTCTGAAAACAAGCTTTCCAAATTACTCAGTTTTTCATAAATTTTATACAGAAAACATGTTTAACATGAAATTAGCTTGGAAAAATACCTTTCCATTGCAGATCTGTTAACATAATTATTTTTGATCTATTGTTTTCCTTAACAGGCAGCTGTTTTCCTCATATTCCTTCAGAAATTCTTAAGTTATTTATTCATAGGATTAAAATGTTACGCCAGTACAAGAATTTATACTTGATTTTACATAGAATACACAAAATATAAGCTAAGGTTTGTACCTTCAGCTTTTAGTACATTGGTTCTTAGCTGCATGCATCTTCACAATCTTCTTTTCTCCTCTTACTAATCAACCAGCCAGCCAGTGTATTCTGCTTATACTGTCATTTTCATTGTTAATGCAGAATAAGATTTTGCATTATTAATGACATTTTAAAGAGCTTAGTATCTAATAATAAAGCAGTACATGGAGGTAGGGAAGGAGAAAGTGAAAACTAAGAAGAAAGTAATAGCTCTTGAAAATATCAATATTACAAAAAGGAGACTTTATTTGGGAAGAAATTCTAAGTCAACCTACTGAAGTCATCTAGTTAAATGTATAGTTTGTACATGTAGTTCATTTAAAATATATATTTTTAATTTTGCTATTTTGTACAAAAAAATTAATTGCAAAATGGAAGATGCTTAAAGTAGGGAGCATCATTATCATTTCTGTAGGATCACATCAAGAAGAACCCTGTCACATCTGAAGCTGACAGCTGGGAAAGAATTTGGCCAGTCATAAGCTGCAAATGAGAACAAGGCCACTAAAAATGTGAGGCCCCAAGCACCATTTAAGCTACTGATCACTGAAACTTGCCATGAAAGAATTTGTAGCTTCACAAACACATTATGCAGCATTTTGACAAATAGGGCTTTTTACTAGACACCAGCAAAAAAGAAGGAAACAGTCTCTCATTGGGAATTAGATTTTGGTTGAAAACAAAATGTTAGGAATATTTGAAAAAATAATTTCATTGGAATCTTTTTCTGAAGTATAGTATAGTTCTGACAGCAAAGCAGGTTTGTCTTCATCCTTTCCCCTCTCTTAGGGCATGTTTACCCTGCAATAAAACAAGCACAACTGGTCCTTAGTAGCTGACTTAGCTTGCAGGGTTCAGGCAGTGGGGTTATATAACTGCAGTGTAGTCATTCAGGCTGGGTCTAGAGCCAGAGCCTGGGACACTGCATTTAGGTATGGTCCAAGAGACCGGGCTCCAGTCTGAGCCCAAACCTACCCTGCAATTTTCTAATCCTGCAGCCAGCCTCACAAGCCCATGTCTGCTGACAGGGGCCAACTGTGAGTGTTTAATTGCAGTGTCGACATATATTTACAGAGTGTGGAACTGAGCTCTCAAGGATTTTGCTGCTGTTGTGAAACTGATAGCATGGGTAGTCAATATGAAAAATGAAGTATATTAATGAAAATTCAGAAATGAGACCTACATTCACAAAAGTAGCTTCACTGGCAAAGAGAAAGATTTGAACTGTTGCCATTGAGCTTTTACTGAAAGGTTATAAATAAATTAGAAGAGAAGCTTAAACCCCAGATGGATATACTTGGGGATAAGTTATTTCAGTTCAGGTAACAATCCATAGTGCTTGAAGAGGCTACAGGTTTAAACATCTCCTGGGCAGATCAGGTCAAAGGCACACTGTTAAATTCCAGATCCCCTTTTCACAGGCTTAAACTGTTGTTCTTTAATAGGTGTTTTTAGCACCATTGACTGTTTTTCGGCATTGATTTCGAAGAATTCAATGCATTGAAGAAATGAAGTAATGTTTATTACATTGTTTCATTTCTGGTATTCAGTAAACTGCTAGATGTGATGGTACTTAGGAAGGTTTTAAGAAAATGTGCTGACATCCCATGCTGAAGATGAACTTTAGAACATTATAGTTCCCTCCTGGAACTTAGCTGTAGTATACAACACTAGTATTATTAGATATTTGTGTACATAAAGTATATAGTAATTCAGGTTAATGTTTCATATTAAAGAATGCATTTGTAAAACGAAACAAGATCAATAGTTTTCCTTATATTACCTTTTTAAAGTTCTGCAAATAATAAAGATCCTGTATTGTTGGACTTGAGACTGGTATACTGCAAAATCTGTTTTAAAAACCTACTTATATGGCTAGCAAAAATTGTGCATTCACGTGACAATATTAACGAAATGTGCTCTCTAAACAAATGATCTTAAAGGTAGGTTTTCCGATAAAATACCAAAATTGTAATACTTGCTGATATATGTTGTAATTAATTCCTTAGTTCTCTAAAATGTAAAAATTAATTTTGTGCCATTCTGAAAAAGTGGGATCTACTCTGTTGATTCATTGTTGCAAACCCTACTTTTGTCATTAAATGTTTTAACTGTGACAAAAAAAATTCCCTGGATTATTTGGTGTGGTGTTTTTTGTCATGATGATGCAGGATTTTTTTTTTTTTTGGTAAGGTTTTGTTCTCCTTTCTTCAGTCAAAGTTGAAAAAGGGTGGTGGTTGCTAATTAAAAAGAAAAATCCAATTTTTTACTGTACCAGGATCAATAATTTCTTCTCAAAAGAATGTGGTGGTTCTGCTGGAAACCATAGTGAAAACTATTTTAAAATATTTTTGTGCCCTTCTAGGCATCTGAATTCTTCTGCTGCATAAACACTGTTAATTTCCTTCCTAAATGTTGCACTGCTCAAAGAAGTCTGTATCAGAATGTTATCTCCTCCTTTATTTTTTAATTAAAAATTTTACATGTTTGTCATTATCCAAGTTAGGGACATTACCTCAAAATACCTTTATTCGTTTATTTAGATGCATAAGTATATTAAGGGGAAAAGTAAAATCCAGGAAAACTTATATCTGTTCAAAATGAAGTTTAAAAGTATAAGATGTATGCAACTGATGGATATAACTATATAGCACCGTGAAAGAATGACTCATGCCATCCCCTATGAGAAAGTCACAAACACTTACTGAAAGACGATTCCTATCAAGTGATATGTGAGGAAGAAGTCAACCAAATTATGAACTTTTTGATAGGTTGCCTCCTTAGTGATCGTTTTCCCAGGTCAGTTCTCTCCCCTACCGACCTGCTTCAGGGATTATGCGCCACTGTCTTTGGTTCAAGTATTGTGTTCCATGCCCTCATTCATCGTCTGTGAATGAGCATCAGTGTTGACTCTGATGCCCATATTGCTGCTCATTGTGCCGCCTGTAAGGTTTCCCACTGTAGACTTGAGAAAGGTAAGATCTTTGCCTCTGGGTGGAGAGGGACTATGAGGCCACATGCATACGGGATCCAAGATCTCGGAAATCAACCATGCCCTGGCCAACACAGGGAGCAAGTGCTCCTCCAAGTACCTTCTGTGCCTCAGATCCAGTGGTCCTGGACAAGCCTAGACCGAGTAGGAAGCATTCTCATGGGCATAGAGGTAAGTTCTTGTTGAGGGCTGCTTCTAAGAGCAGCATTTTCCACCTGAGCCATTTCAGGTCAAATGAAATGTCATGCACCAGCACAACCAGTTCCACTACTGTTTCCATGACCTTCGCTGCAGCGTGCTATTTGAACTCTGCCTCAATCTTTGGCTCCTGCCAAGGATATTGCCTGGACCCCAAGCCAACTCAAGTCCCTTCTGTTCATCTGAAAACTGGGGCCATCCTACCCACATTTGCTGCTGCTCAACAGCACACTGATTTGCCTGTCATGCAGGATCTCATGTTTCTGGAGATAGTTGTACTCCAAAGGGTTTTCTGGCCCAGAGCCTGCCCACCTCCCCCATATCCAAGCACAGATCTGCTTCTGCCTGCCTTACACTGCTACTGATAACACGGTATTGATGGTATGGTACCGATACACTAGGGCCTGACATCTCTAGGTCCCTATCCCTTAGACATATTGGGCATCCTGGAAACAATACCATCCTCAGTACCCACTCAGCTCTCCTACCAGTCTGCTCCAGATCTTCTGGTGATACCAACAGGCTCCTAAGTGTAAGCAGGGTGCTGGAACTAGAAGTGCTGACTTAAAGAGATTTCCATAGAACTGCTTCCTCCATTGGGGATGAAGTGCTCATTCCTGCCTCTCTATCTCCACCTGATGATCACAGGGAGTATCATGGCCTTTTACAAAGCGTGGCCAAAAAAAACACCCGGGGAAGAGGTACAAGACTAGTAACACCAACTATTGAACTTCCTCCAGCCAAAGGGACCCTCCAGGATGGCAGTTCCCATTAAGACATCTGTCAAGCTGCAGCACGGTGATCAAGTCACACTGTCCTCTGCCATTATGCCATCACCCATTGGGTGACTGCAGATACTTCCATGGGCTGCACCATATTACAGACTGCATTTCCTCCTGCATCCTTGCACCCATCTCCACGCTGCTTGCTACTCTCACACACTTCAAACACATAGGGACCACCACCCAAAGAAGAAGAGAGGACCATTTATCTGTAACTAGAGGATCTTTGGGATATGTAATCCCTATTTGTATTTCAATACCTGCTGTCCAGACGCTCTGCTGCTTACTGAATGATAAGAGGGTCACTGGAAAGACATTGACCTACACAGCCAGTTACAACTTTGGGTGGGAGTCTGAGGAGATGCATGATGCATGTGTGGGTCAACATATGCTGCTACAAATGCCTTAAGGCTCCAGCATATAGTGCACGTGTACCTCTACGATTGGACTACATAAAGGGGCCATACAACTAGATGCATCTCCAGATATAGGTAAGTAACCCTCTCTTCTACCAGAAGCACCAGATTGATATGAAACTTTTGATGGTGAAAGCATTTTTGTTGTTGGCATCATTCTGAACTATGCTACATTAATTTGGCTAATAATGTAATTACCTTTTTACTGTCTTTAGCACGTATTTATGCAGTGAAATGTAGACTATTAGGATTCTGCAATTCACCCCATGCATATTGCGAAGCATTTTTAAATGAAATCCATCATATTGATGGATCGTGTGAAATGTTTTATGATCGTCAGAAAAGAGTATATTGTGAACCTTTTGTGATCAGTGGCTATAATGCAGGCATGTCCAAAGTCCGGCCCGGGGGCCAATTGCGGCCCGTGTTCCGGTTTAATACGGCTCCCCAGGTAATTTGGCAATATCTATCTTTTATGGCCCCCAACGAATCCATATGTATTGAGATGAATACATTGTAAAATCTCAGTTAATGTCAGTTGGTCTAAATCAGTTATAAATATATTTGGACACAACATGTATACTTGGTGTTATGTTCTTGTTCATATTTTTTGAACTTAAAAGTTGACAGACAACCTTTATTACCAATAATATGTAATGTACTTTACAATGTTCCTGACATATATTTCAGCTTCCTGGATTTTTTTTTTCATCTGGCCTTCAGATATGAAAGGCAGAGTGGTTTAACACCTGTTTAGATTTGTCATCCATGTGATGAAATGAAAAGTATGCCATTTGCAATAAACTTTGCATAAAATAGTTAATTTGCATTTAATTTTAATGGTTCAAAGAATGTCAGGCAAAATGGTCGGCCCTCATGCATGTTCACTTCATCAAATCTGGCCCTCTTTGAACAAAGTTTGGACACCCCCGCTATAATGTATAATTGAGAAGAGTGTCTCCTGTCATCTGTTATACTGAATATGATGTCTATAAGGCTCATGTATGAATAAGGACAAGTTTTCTTTGTTTCCACAGTAAAGATTTAATTGTCTATGGAATAAAACAGTGGTTCTTGCTGTTATGGATCATGCAAATGTACAAACAATTGAACT